AAGTCAAAATCACCGAATTTTGTCGCTGCATTGATATTTCGCATTACTTTATTATTTTCGCCAATATACGTCGCTGATCGAAATATAGCAAACAGGTATTAAAATACAAACAACAAATGCTTAGCTTTGCTCAAAAACCGTAGAAACATATTCACACCCCATCCACGCTCCATAGATCGCCGCTCCGCTTGTCACGTTAATTTTCACCTATTAAAAGTTTCTTCTTGGTTTATCAATTAAGGGAGATATGTAGCAAACAAGAAAATTATATTCGACTGTGATCGAAACTTTTATACCCACTACCGTTATCCCAAAAAAAATAAAAATAAAAAAAAGAAGAAAAAATTAAATTTTCATTCCTTATGATATTGATTAGGCGTGGCTGATTTTTTTGGTTTCGTAGAATAAAAGTGCCTCCATCGTGATTGAAGTTTGGAGTTCATGAGTAATGTACAAACAATCGACAAAGCAAAGCTCTTTGTTTCTGTTGCATTATATGAGTGTCTAGGCTAGAGCATTTTCTTGTTATTTTTACTAAATTTGAAAGTTCATTTTTACGATCAAGAAAATGTTTATCGCAATTACTGCATAGTTGGATAGATGAACGCACAAGCAGACCAACGTGCTTAAATCGGTTCAGAATTTGACACTGATCGAACGTATATTTATACATTGTGAGGTCTCTGAAGATGTTCTAGGTGTTACAAACGTTTTGATTTAATGAATATACTCCCATCCGCCGGTGGAGGGTATAGATATGTGAACACAAGCACTATTAACGTCTATAATTTGCTTATGTCAATTGCAAATAAATTTTTTCGTGCATCGTGCATTGCTCACGGGAAGTGAAATGGATGTTGCCACGTAGGCTAAACCCTTCAAAGCGGAGCAGGGCTTAGATTTTATAACCGTGATATATGCTCAGAATATCCTTAAAAGTAAAACAAAGCAATTAGGGGTAACTCTATGTAAATGGTAGGGAATAAGAATAGTCGAAGCGAAATCAATGCATGCATATTTGTCTATTAAAGGCGTCGTAATTTGTACAACATTTTTGCTTTATCATATGACAAACTTTCACTTCTTAATTCGTGGGTGAAGAGCATTTCGTTGAATCATCATTAAAATCAAAACTGCGAAAAGCAAAGCTTTGCTTTTGTTTTGCTATCCAGGTGCGTTTTGGAACACATTTAAGATGGAAAGATTTCGTAAGTATTGTGAAAACTTGGAACATTAGCGTGCATTCTAATAATTAGATATCAGCCGAATCTAATATATTTCGATCAAATAGCTACATTTACATCCCAATTGATATCGGAAATTTCCTTAATCATCAATTCTCTTGTACAATGGAGAAGAGAATTCGAGAAAAAGTAGTTCCTAATTATATAAAATTTCAAAAAGTCAGTTTTGCCCCTTATTGCATCGATGCTAATATTGCCATTGTTAAAAAAATATTATTAACAACTTATTAAATTAATAAAAGTTTAAAAAAGGAAAGTGTTTAAATTTAAAAATCAGTTAAAAATGTGACATTTTACTTCCTTCGAGCAATAAAGTTAAAATGAAGCAATTTGCTCAACTTGAAAATATGCCAACACGAAGGAAATGAGAGAGCGGTCTTCCTGTCATAGCGAATTCTAAATACTCACTACAAAAGTTGTAGTTCTTTCATAATTGTAAGCTTACAGTCTAAAATCTTTTAGATAACATATTAGTTTTTACACGGATGGACAGGTCCGTAAAATGTGGCTACATGTAACCATTTCTTTGTTCCAAATTTGAAAACTTAACCATAGTTTTAGGCGTGAGAAAGAGAAAGATGAAAAGGCATGCATGCTATCATACCTTTCATTTTAAGTATAGAAAAGAAAAACCTAATAATAATGAACAAATACAAATGAGTATATTTTATCTCTGGGTGTAACCGACACTTAGTAAAGAGAATAAAACACACTAAAGCCAAATCAAATCAAATGTGAACAAAAATCTTAACAAGCAGGAAAGGAAGACGACGAGAAAAGGCAAGACGTACAATGTATGCCACGCAGAAGTGGAAAAATAAAACAGCATGAGATGTAAGAATGAAATGAATTGCAAGGGAATTTATTGTGGTAATTTCGCATTAGCAGCAGTTTGTAACAGTCGCACATTCAGAGATGTAACATACATATACACCCATCTCAACAAAAGCAGATAACCCCTTGGGATTTGTTATACACTATACACGTACTTTTAAAGGTTACTATTGCTTAACATATTTGGTATAAAACCAGGATGAAAGCTTAAAGCAGTTTCGTTCTGTGCTGAGTTTCTAACGTAGTTCACATAGATTTATTTCCTTTTTTATATATTTTAATATATAAGTACATATAAGTTTGTTCATTCTTCTTCGTACATATTGCACATGTTTCTCATATTTTATTATTAAATTGATACCTGGAGGTGATTTCCGGTCTGCCTCAATGTCCTTTGCTTTATAAGTATAGACATAGATAACATGACCAACTCATCCACATTAAACGTGTATCAACAATGGCGACTAGTTCAATAAGTTGTCATTGTTGTAATAAGCACTTGCTGCGTCTTTGACAACAAACCCGATAATTAATTGGCAATGTAAAGAAAACGGTAAACGTGATACGAATCGAAAATTTGTAAACGCTTAGAATTTTTTATTAATTTGTACATAATTACTCTAGCCGTTAACTTAGAACTTTAGTGTGCTCAGGTGGAGCCAATTAAATTATATATACGGAGTAAGCCAATCCTCGAATAATTTTCGTTTTTACATGAATCTATCAGTTTCCAGTCTATGCATTCATTAACATTTCATTGCCTGCACCTGCCGATTGACGCGAAAATTTTGCATACATGTATATGTAGAAGGTGAAGTAATAAACACGCACAATAAAATAAGCGTTAAAATTAATTAATGTGGAAGACATTCACGTATAAAACAAGCTCTGCCTGCAATTATGATCACAAAACCAAAAAAGTAAGTCATTGATGATAAAACCAAAAAAGTAAGTCATGCCTGATGGCAGTGCAAAGACTGAAAGGGTCCAATGTACGACTCGAATAATAACATCTTTTGAAGACATAACTCTACTCGAAGTTTTTGATATCTCTTAAAGGACACTGAAAACTGGAATTTTACTAATTCTCTTAACTTTTTGATAATATACTTCATATATTGTAATTTCTCTTCAAGTTTATACTACACTATAAACAAAATACAAATAGTAAAAATTAAATTTTTTTTTACATTTTTTATAACATAAAGCAAGACTCTGCTTTTTAATTACGTCCGTATTTCCGATTTTTGTTTAGCATTTGTAACTATTACAGTTTTTCAGTACCACCCAATTATCCACCATCTGTCAGATTTGTGTTCGTTAATTTTAAACTAACTAATTTTTCATGTATTGTTTAGCTTGGCTATTTTTATAAGCTTGCATTTGTAGGTTGGAAACTCCTACTAACTGCATTCTCGTCGCCTTAATTTTTCGATGAATGTTGGGTATTAAGTTATCGATTGTTTGCGAAATGTTCGTACACACTTTACTTTCTAAGTATACGCAACGAAACTAGTCCAAAGGTCCAAATATATATATAGTCTTGAACAGCGTGAAAGTCTGAGTTGATTTAGCTGTCCATCTGTACGTCTATGTGGTGTTTGTTATTGGCACTTCCCTGGTCGCGAAAAGGAAGCTATCGACTTCAAATTTGGCAGAAACATTGGAAGTTTTTTCATGCTTGCTTGCCTATTCTATGCTATGCTGTAGCGTTTGTGTACAAAAATGGAAAAAATTAACCACGCATACCCAATATTATAGTGTATCAAAATTTAAGCGTTTTTTTAAAACGTTCATACCGCGCAGAAATAAGCTTCAAAATTTCCATAAAGTATACAAGTTCTTGGCCAGTTTAAGACTTGGAGTGCATCTAAACATGCCCGCCTTCTCGCCCGTCCATCTGTCTGCTCTCTCAGTCTTTGCTTGTTTCACTTTTTCAAGGGACATGCTTTAACCACAGTAGGTCCGCAAACTTTGGCTTTATCAACCTCATTTATGGCATAGTATAAACAAGTTTTGGTTTCGAATATTAGTTAATTTACATAAAGTCATGTTTTGTTTATAATAATTTGCAAAAAAATTCCCGAAAAGTTCTATTTTACTTATATTTTGAGTTAAATCCTTCCGAGAATTCGTTTAACATAATTCTGTTAACGGCTTTACAGAGCTCTGCAAAAAATTTTCGTTTGTGTCTTTGCTAGTTATATTTAAATGTAAAATCACACACTTTGATTTTTCGTAAGTTTTCTTTGTGCTTTATTCTTACCTTCTTAAGCACTTATTATTGCCTTTATTTTCTTCTTATACATTTTAACTCATATATAATCTGTTTAGAACAAATGCTTACGTTTTTGTCAATACCAAGAGTTATATAAAAGAAGTAAAACCGTTGAAGCCCTTCCAACAAGTCTTCCTTTTTTTTTTTTGATTTAACAGTTACTAAGTTCGTACACTATCAATAAAACAAAAATTCTTCAAATCAACGGATTTATCATTTATGTGATCTCAATTACCAACTTATTCTCGTATAGGTCATCTTCCACATTTCCGTTATGGTCTTAATAACGTTTCCGTTCTAGCAATTTTTCAACGCGCATTATATTATCATTAAGATAGAATTACACAAACTTCTAGTCAAAGCATTTGATTTTCATCAATATCTCAGTTTTCGTTGATTTACTTTGTTACAAAACAAAATTAACTCAAACTATGTCGCTTTTCTACTTCTATGCAAACCAAATTTTTCTTTATGTTCTACACGTTTTCACTGTAACTGTGAAGCTCTATTAAAAATTAAAATCACCTTGCGTTATTGACTATATAAATTATATTTATGCTTGTTTAATTATATTATGCTTGTTGTTGTTTGAATTTTATAATAATTCACGGAATTATTTCTTTCACCTGTCATTCTAGTCCCCCATCTCCCGGGATAAAAAGGAATTATGGAATTATCTCATGTTACAAACCATTTATGATGATCGTATGCAACATACCTAGAAGGACTTGAGCAAGAACATTGTATGTATAAGATATATATATATATATTTATATAGTATGTTTTTGACTTGACAGATTCATCTTTTATTATACTAAACGGTTTAAAATCAAATTCTGAATCTATTTAAGCATGTCTGACCGTGCATCTAATAGTGGTCTATGTGATATATTTCAATCTAAACGTTCCTGTTTTCGAGATATTTTAATGATGTTTTCAAATTGGGTGCACTGATGTGTTTGGGCACGGTTTTGAAGACTGTACAGATCTGACCGTATACCTACTGTACGTCTATCTCAAAAAATTCGGTATATAAAAATAAAGGTTTTTTAAGATTTTTCGACAAAAACCGATTCAAAAATTTTGTTTTAACATATTAAATATGTAAGAAATTTGAATGGGATAGAAACATTTGAACTTGCTGCCATATAAATTGCCTTAAAGAAGAGGCCTTTATGTGATAACACGCTCTAATAATTAATAATTTAGTGATTCCATAAATAAACTTACCCTCACGTGAATCTACTTTTCGCGCACCGTTGCTTATAAAGATACCAAAGTAAGCCTCTCTATATGGAAATAAGATGTAATTTTGAGCAAACCTGTTAGAGTTGTGTAGAGTATAGTCGCCCATTACTGGTTAGACGTTCTTGACTTATTTCACTTATTTCATAATTTCATTAATTACATTCGCCTGAATGGAAGAGTAGGCAAAGAATTTCGACTAACAACTCGACGTCATTAACAAGACGAACTGTCTTAGCCTAATATTTTTAAAGCATTTGAATATTGAGACTATTGGCTATTATCCAATATTGCACCCATAAGTCCAAATGGCTTGAAGGATACTCTTATATAAAGTGCATTTATTCTTAAGATTAAGTTAAGCTTCCGGATGAATTCGCCAAGAGTCTAATTTTCAAGTCAGGTTGCTGTCGTCTACTTTTTACAAGAATTTATTCTTGGCCTTGGTATGTAAACCAAATATTTCACACAATTGCTGATAAGGATATTATACCCATTCAGAAACAGAGAAGGGCAAGAACCCTGGTTTTGTGTGGAGGTAATATACGAAGATTTTTCTGCATTTATTTTAATATTTGATTTGTTCAGCCAAAATGTAGCTTTCTTGAGACGTAGGATACGTTCAGGGGTAAATATAGAACGCTTGAATCGTCACCATATGTCGCTGTCAAGATATTGTTAACAATCGGAAAATCTGAAGTGAATATTGTAGAAAGTATCGAACTGAGAACACTGTGGCACTCCATCTTCAAGTTCGTATATGTCTGTTTTTCAAATAGGGCTTAAAAAGCAAATACATAGCAATTGAAAAATTTTCATCTGTTTGACAAGTAGTCCACCATGCCCGACTTCGTCGAATGCCGTTTTCACACCTGGAAATACTCCACCGCAATTATTTTTAATTTCAATGGCTTCTCTAATGTACAAGAAAACACGATAACATTGCTCAATGACACTGCGTTTGTTCCTGGAAGCGAACCGTAGATAACTAGTTTTTGTTCTAGAACTGAGAGTGGTTTTTGTATATATATTGCCTCACGTATTCTAGAAAAAGGTATCAATAAATTGATTGGTCGATATGAGCTTACGACGTTTTCTAGTTTATTTTGTTTGGCTATCATCATTATTTCCGAGTATTTTCATTCAATTGAAAAGTGATTCAGTCGTCAGCATATTGTTTAAAATTACTGTTAAGACAGCCATAGATGGTAAATATCAAATCACTTTTAAGAACCAGTTTTCATCATAAAATATCAAGAAATGAAGGCTTAGCGTGCTAAGTATAGATCTATCTCCAGGCCCGAAATCGATAAAGTCAATTTTTATGTCAAATTATTATTATGAACCCATTTTCACCAAGGGTTCATATTTTACCTATCACTCACATTGCTTGACTTTTTTGCTGCGAATGGGGAAACCCTAACATCGTTGCAAGGCAAAGATTCGATTACATCTAACCAACCAACGTTAATATAGATACTTCCAAATGATTCGTTTGGGGCTGATGACCTTCCATCATGTAAGTAAAGAATTATTTGATATTATTTTATTTGAGTTAAAGGTATTATGCTAATATTTATTAACCCTTAACAAACGAATGCCGCCATACTCGCCATACATTACAAATATTCTAAAAAAAACAAATGCCGCCATACAGTGTAGGGTTCGGCCGTATACAATCAATAAAGTTTGTTATCGTCATTTTCGGAGCATTATCTGTTAGAAGAAAGAAAGAGCGAGTCGTGCGTACGTGCGCACTAATTTTAATTTTTCTGTCCACAATTTAAGCCCCTCTCTGAAAGTAGGGCACTTCAACTCTCAAAAATCCGTCGATCTACTGGTCATTGTTTTGCAAAACCCTGTCGTTGGTTAAGGGTTAAAAAGTAATTTACGAGCAATAAAATATAAAAAAGTAATAATAAAAGTAAGGAAGAAGGTTTGACAACTTTACTATTCTACAACTTGACTCCACTTGATGGCTGAGCGACTTTAGAATTTTAGCTCGCTGACTTTCGCGTCTTGTCTCTCTCTATTTTTCTGCAGCGTCACTTTGCTCATTTTACGCTTCTTTTAGTCAATCAGCTTTTCATTCCTTATTACTATTTTAAGCATCTATACTTTACGTGTATATATCATATAAATCATGCTCTGATGAGCTATGTTATATCAAAGATTTTTAATCATTCTGTTAAAACAGGTGTTTCCCTTTTGCGTTAGAAAACTAGCTTCCTTGTTCCAATTCGCAAATGTGAAAACAGACATCTCATCGAGAACTATGGAAGCATTAACATATTGAGTGTCTTACCTAAATTATTTTTAATAATTGTTTCTCAACAAATAATTTTCGTTATTAAATCTTATATTTGTCCCTTTTGGCATGGCTTCATAAAGGGAAGATCAATCGTTGCGAACATCTCAGAGTTTGCGTCCCAAATTTTCAAGGCTTTTTAGCGACTCCCGCTCGTCGTATTCACTGATTTTAGAAAAGCGTTTCCCAAGCCAAGTCTTTAACTGGCCGTTACACTTATTGAAATTTGTGATCTGATGCCCTATGACCATGAGGTATACCTCAAGCCAGCCACTTAGGGCCATTTTTGTTTATCTTACCAATGATTTGTCTTAGGTGTTTAAATGCTGCAAAATGTTAATGTATGCTGACGATGTTAAGCTGTTTTTTTCCTTTTCATTGGAATTGCACTCGTAGCTCCTTCAATCTGAGTTAGATAACTTGGTAACAACGGACAGTTTAAATTTTGTAAAATTAAATATCAAAAAAATGCAATTCATTCTCAAGAAGGAATCTATTCAACGCTGCGTACTTCATTGATTTACAAAAATTAGAAAATATACGCTCGTCCATTAATTTAGAATTACTGTAAGATCAAAAACTGCATTGTAATCTGCATATTGAGCGCTCTTTATACGTGAGCCAATATATATATCGTGTATACCAATACACGAGTACGTCGTGTCTGCAAGTATTACGTGTATTCAATAGAATCCGTTCAAAAACAATGCCTGCTTATTGCAATGGTCCACCAAGAGACTTTAGGTAAAATTCCTCCTAAGTATGGGTTGTCAAGCCTGATAAATTACTGTACGTGAACTCAAGTTATAAATTGCGGCATATCAAGTATAAGCTTTCTTAATACCTTCTCAGTGTTTGGATGGAGCAAGATAGCATTTGCAGATCATGAAAGATATCAGAAGTGCACAGCTTTTTGAGAAATTTTTCATCATCTCTATAAATTTGTCTACAATTTTTATAAAACTCTATTTGTCTTCAATTTTTACCAACTTTCCGAATTGTTTCAAATATCTTGCAAAAATTTTACTTATTTCTTTTCGCAATTTGCTTAGTAGATATACATGTACGTATGCATTTTTTTTTTTGTATAAGTGTCGGTGTGTTAAGCTCACGCATGAAATATGCGGTAAACTCGCCATTCACAATTTCAGTTGAATTCGTACTAATTGTGTAGACTTCATTTTTAGAAGCTTTTATTTTTTTTGAATTTGGCGATTTAACAAAATTGCTACCAGTTGCAGGCTTGCTCTGCAGTTACTTTTTCAATTTAATGGAATTGCTGACAGTTGCAGACTTGCTGCGCAAAATGAAATTAATGGAGGATCGGGCTTGGAGAATCGCAAGTAAAAGGCAAATCAAATTTAGTAATAAATTTTTTTCCTTACATCTTTATTTATATTTAATTTCAGATAAAAAGACAGGTATCAGCCGTTCAATCAAACCCAGCTACCCGGTCGCCGTCTCAATATCTATGAAAAATCGCTGTATGGCAAAGGTAAGTTTGCATTTATCTTCACTTATTATTATGTACAATTTATTCACTTCTTTTCATCTTGTGTTAGATTAAAAAAACAAGCACACGCCTCCACGCATCGCTTCAGCAGAATGCGATACTTCCGTAGGCCAAGCGGTAAGTTTGAGATCATCCTTTATATATAACATTCAGGAACCACAATATTTTTCTTTTGCAGATATCAGCACACCAGCAGGGATCCAGATCAATTTATAAGTATGTTCTATGTATTTATTATGTATCTATATTATGTATTAAAGGGGCTTAGATTTATTTACTATTATATAGATATTATATAGACATATTATAGCTTTAAATTAAGTTTATAATGGTGTAGGCCTGTAGAGGAGCCAGCCATTTAAAACAATTGGCAACGCGCCTATCACGGTACCCCAAGGGTGGTACGGAAAACCGTGAGATTGATACTGATGTGTTCAATTATAATAATGAAAAATTATAGAAAGACTAGCCTCCCTTGCACATTGGTTTGGCAAGAAAAAAGAAAAACTTCATTCGTTTTCTCTTAATTGTATTGATCGAAAATTAGTAAAAATGTTATAGTGGGCTATTATTTTAAAAAGTCTTTCGATGAATACCCGTATTAAGCGAAGGTGGATAGGTCATTTAACGTACTTTGTTTAAAAAGTGCCGTCTTCACTATAACTTATTCCTGCAGTTTAGGTAAATGCTAACTTCTTTCTAGAGAAAGGCACCAAGGGGGTTTTCGAAGACTAATGTGTAATCCTTTATCGTGGCATTGTACGTGGGTTTTGCTTACGAAGTTTTGTATGCGTTTAGAGTGTTTGTTCGTGCCTGCCCGCTATGAAAACTGCCCGATCGTCTGCTTAACCCAGTGATTCGAACTAGCAGCTCATCTATGAATGCGGTCCAGATTAGACGAGAGAGCACACCGTTTTGAGGGCAGCCTCTATGGGCGCTGATAGTCAAGGACGTGCCTGCTCTTAAAAAACGTTGGCTTATTATTGTCGTTTCTTTCGTACTTAAGTAAATAAATGGTACTATCAATTCGCCGACATTACTTGGTGAGATAAACTCCAATTTCCCGAATTCTTTCTCTAGGAACATTATTCGCATACGTCAAAGAGTTAATATATATATTGTTATGAAAATCCCACATTTGATGAATTGAATTTGCATGAAAACTGGTCGAATTTCTAAGAAATAAAATTTTGAAAATGATAAAACCGAAAACACATCATCACCCTTCACTAGCTCACGCAGCTAGCAATTTTCGAAACTGTTAACAACAATTCGCAAAACATTTCGCAGAAAAATGGACTAACACAAAAATATCGCAATGAAGTTTGATACTTGCAACTTGCTTTTTAAAGGAACAGAACGACAATATTTGCGAAAGGCGAGATCAGTCAAGTGCAGAAAGTTGTAATATTCTAACGTGCAAGGCCAGAACGAGCATTGAAAGATTATATATACAAGTTCATGTACATAATTTGTAACTAAATCTCCTAAGATTTTTAAATAAAGCCTACATTACCCTAAATATTATAATTCAATGGTCCGAAATTATCTGAATAGAAACCCGATAAATACGTCAAAATTGCAATAGGGTACTTTACGTTATTATATAATTATAAACTCTTCAACTCATTTAGGGTCCGTTACAAAAATATGAATGATATCTATAATAATAAAAAAATTTTAAATTCGATCGTATCAACACTTCTTAATATGAGCGCTTTCCCTGTATAGTATCTAAATTAATTTCTAAGCTTGATACCTTCGTATGATTCGAACATTGAACGACGTTTTTAGAGGTTGTCAAGCTTTTCCAGGCTAGCAACGGCTAGGAGTTTCATTCTCAGCTCTGAATTACACGAGATAGGGATGTACCTCTGTGCTAGATGTGTATATGCCTTTTTTTCGTTGCAAGTTTGGAAACTCATGTTTGCAACTCTCACCACTAGAGTAGATGTACTTCCCTGATATGCAAATATGATTATTGCCAGTGAAACGGAAGAACTAACATTTCTCGTCTTTCGATGTCGGGTACAGTTTTACACAAAATTATAAGCAGACAAACTAAATAGTCAACGCAAGGCAAACGCATTTCATTTTTGCTCATATCACGCAACTCGTTATATTTTGGGCTTTTTTTTCTAGATCGTGATTATATGTGAATTCATAAAAATATTCAATCCTACATTCGATTTAGAGTACAAAATAAAACGGCGCTTAAGTTAGACATTTAACTCTCATGCTGCAACGTTTGTCTCTTCTTTTCCAGAAGCCCTTATAAGTCGCTGTTCATTAAACAAGTATATATCGGGAATTCAAGGCAAGTCTTAAAGCTTTAAACATTAGTTATTATCATCCACTCTCTTACGCGGACTATCGTAACCGCACTAAATTATCATTAAAGAGCATAAACGTTAAAATATTGAAAAATTACTATCGAATTAAAAATTTCAATTATCATTTTCGTGTTTTGTAATTTATATCTATTTAACGTAAGCCGTGCACCGTGCATTCACACACATGCTTGCCTACGTTCACATTTTTTTTCTGCTTTATATTTGTGACTTTTCATTTAATGATTTACTGCTCCTTTTTCATGCGTTTGTTCACAAAAATTTCCTTGGCAAATGATAATCATAATTTATTCACATTTTAAATGAAGACATATACATACCAAGCTGACGACAAGAAGTCAAAAGCACGCAGAAAAAGTATGACTTTTTTTCTTTCATTTCGCTACTTAACTGTTAATGTATTCGGTAAACGTTGATTGGGTTCTCATAAACGCATGTCTGCGTTAGCTGACAAATTGAAAAATGCTATTAATTATCGCAGGAAGCGCTACGTACATATTCCGACGGACATCGATTTAATTCGTTAGGGTCGTACACAGGTATGACATAAATTTAACTTTGACCGAAGTTGTTTTGATTTCAATCACTTTTGACTTCTCATTCTTTTTTAGTCTAAATCCCAGCAAATAAAATTTGTTATTATCTAAACTATTTACAGATATTTGATTCAAATATGAAGAGAAAATTTTGCACAAAAGTGCCTTAAAATCAATGAACTGGTTTTCTATTTTGAAGATTAAAAAAGGCTTTGGAAGCCCACGTATGAAGACACTTCGCTTATTTAATTAAAGGAAACAGTGATTGGGCTTATTAACTGGAGTAATCAGGCTTATACACAGGCGTTTGTCTCTTTCCAATAATATCCGTCAACAATTCCCGGGACAAAAAAAGAGTTTTTGCAAAATTAAAGTGTATCATCTCTCCCAAGAATTATCCAATCACTCCAGCGTTTGGATCGAGTGAGAATAGTTTTTAGGAGTATTTTGAAGCATTTTGATACAATCAGTTTATTTGAGTCGCTATTGTATTCAGCATCCTCATTTTGCGTCCTTTAAAATAAGGAAATCGTCGACAAACTGTTGTGTTCGACGCCGAGAAGGAATGTGAACACGCGCTATTCCATAGATGTTTTGAAAATAACTTCCATAGTTTTTTGAAAGCAACTTCAAAATCACTGTAAGTCGTAACCGAATGATGGAAATTGCATGGAAGGGGCTTCATTTGATGGTTGGCATCTTGCAAAAACCTGCACGAATTTGTTTTTAAAGACGACATCTATTTGGCTGTCTCGGGAATTATTGACCGATGACTCAAATTCTTCAATTTGCTTTACTGATAATATTCTTAAGTAATTCTTTTAATTGAAGCTATTTCATACCAAAGAGTAAGAATTGAGGTCAAAGGTTTACTGTTTTCTTGTGATAAGAGATTTTTTTTTCTATGGCGCAATAAAATTCAAATTATGTTTAACAGGACTTTTGAAATGCACGAAGAAAGCACAAGTATTGAAGACACTTAGTTTTGACGGGATTTAACTTAAATGTTGGCAATCAAGTGATAATATCAGGTATTGCAAATGCTTCTGACGACATTAAGTGAATTTTTCAACAAATTATCGTAAATGGTCGTAAAGTGAATCAAATTATAATTGCATTATAAAATGCGAAATTTATATCTTTAACGTGTATTTGTAATGACTTGTATATTCTTTATGGAGGGTCTTGAGCACCACCCGCTTTAAAATGCAAATTATCTACAATTTAACTAATTGCCTTAATAGTTTTTATCTATAGTGAACATGCTCGAGGACAGAAGTTCCATCGGTTTAGTGAAATCGATATATGTATAATTTTACTAATTTTGCCCTGAATTATTCGTCTTGCAAATGAATAAACAAAATAATAACGGCTTCGCTTAAGTGGCGGATGTAAACATTTACTTTTTAAACCGAAGAATATACCAAGTGCCGCAAAATAGTAAATATTCATTTTTTCAATTTGCAGATGCGTTTGTGGGAAAACCCTCTTGTTTTTCAACAATTGAAAGAACCAGTTTTGAACCTGACCTTCTGAATTGTAACAGCAATCTTAATTTTTACGGATTACTTTTACTGACTTGGTTAGATCGACAGAAAATTTATTACATCGTGTCTCAGTTTACGCGTTTTAAAAATTAAATGGTGAACCTAGTTAACTCCAGATACCAGGATAATAGTTTGCTTACACCGAGGATAATTCTATAATTTTTGGCATTTCCGCAATTTAGGCTGAAATTACGCCAAAAATCACGACTGCGTCATATAAAAAACATTAAATAGAATAACTAAAAAATTCAACGGGATTGTGTTGAAATCTATGAGTTTACCTTTCCGTCTATGTAATAAATTAGTTGCCGAGAATATAAAAAGTCTGTATGTTTGATTTTTTTGGTGCTCGCGAAAAAGAATAGAGTGTGTGACAAACAAAGGAATCAAAGAAAAATAAAACAAGTCCAAGTGAAATAGCAGAGGCAGGCGTAATAATAGGTTGCTTGCCCATTAAGTGGTCAACAGTCTATTTTGATATCTTCCTCTTTCTTCAGTCTTCATTCTTCAGTAATGAATCTGCATGGAAACTACACGACTTTCTAGGAAACGACCTTGTTAAAAAGGGAAAACCAAACACATATTCACGATACTTTACTCGTCTATTTCACAAGATAGTTTGCAGCAACTGACGATTGACGGAAGGATTAGGGTTCTTATTATTCTAATAGTCTTTTTTTTTGGGTTATTTGTGATCTAAAGTTCAGATAACATTACTTTTCTTTGGATGTTTTCATGCATTTGAAGCTTTCTTCTTCGTATAGGGCAATTAACACAGAAGA